TTGGATCAGTCCTTATCTCTCAGTCAAACCTATCTCACAGAGGGGATCTCTCTTGTGGGGTCAAATGGGAGGAGGAAAATGGAATGTAAATGGAATGTAAATTAATGAGACATCATTCCTGTATGTATATGGGCTATGGAAAAGAGCCAGTGAAGGGCATCTTTGAGAGGAACTCAACAGTATCACCACAGAATGCATAACTGGGCAATCAAGCCCCATTTTAACATGGGTCACATATCTTAAAAAAAAAAAAAAAGGTAAGGCTTTGTTCATGCCAATCTTTTTGGGGGTTTTTGTTTTGTTTTGTTTTTTATTGTAATTTTTCCTTTTCCAAAACATTAATACATGTTCAAACAGACAGTGTCATTAATTATAGAAATTGGATTAACAGTTCATATAATCACCACGTATACATATACATATAAATACCTCTTCAATTTTTGTATAAATATTATCTATTTTTGTTTCTGTTATCTATCCACCTATACCATTTTTCCCACACCGCATAGTATTCTGAATTGTCTTTTTCTCTTAATTCTAAAATTCATTTGTTTATTTCGGCACATTCAAATACTTTTTGAATAATCAGTCCCTCTGGTGGTAAATTATGTTCTTTCCAATATTGCACGAATGTGATTCTTGCTGGAGTAAGTATATGTAAAATCTTCGGGGTTCGGGTACATTTTAGCCAGTCTTGTTGGTGCTAGAGGCCAATGGTAGAGCATTTTATATTGATTTTCTTTATAGGCTGCCGATTTTGTTAAGGTATAATTTTTATTCCAAATCATTTCCCACTCATCCAAATTTATATTGTGCCCTATATTTTTGGCCCATGCAATCATCGATTCTTTTACCACCTCCTCTGCTCTGTCAAATTCTAATAAATAGTTATATAATTTAGATATTAGGTTTTTTTCCGGACCCATCAGCAGTTTGTCTAATTGGTTTGGTTCCCTATCGATACCACAATCTTCCATGTCTTTCTTATATCTGGATTATATTTATAAATATGGCCACTAGTCAATGTGGATTCCCTGTTCTTTTATTACCTGGTTACTTTTAAGTCTTCCTTGATTATCTAATATTTCTGTATATCTAATCATTTTACTAATGTCTACTGTATTGGGGTGGATCATAGCTTCCATGGTAGATAGCCAGCCAGGAATTTTCATATAATGTTTCTTCTTTACATCTTCCCAAGTTTGAATCAATGCATTTCTAATTTTATGTCTAAAAAAATACGAGTATATCCTATTCTACTTATCCCACAGGAAAGCATGCCACCCCTTTTGTAGGTTGTGTCCTTCCAGGGTTAAAATTCTACTATTCCTTAAATTGACCCAGTCTCTTATCCAAACTAACATGGCTGCTTTATGGTATATTTCCCACCCTGGGAGACCGAAACCACCCCTACTTCTACTATTTTGAAGCGATCATAATTTTACCCTTGCCTTTTGCCCGGACCAGATGAATTTAGTAGTCATTTTGTTGACTTCTGTGAAATCTTTTTGATACTGTTGGCCCCCTTGAGGGTGCCCCTGATTTTTTTTTTTTTTTTTTGCTGTCCATTAAATAATTCTGTCATTTTATTTTATTTTTTGCCTTTCCACATCAGTATACTGACATTAAGTTACCTAATGGTACATAATATATCAATAACTGTTGATCGGTTTATGCAATAATGAATTTTTATGCAGTTACTTTCTCTTAGGAATATACTTAGAAAATTATGCAAATAAGAAAAATCTATGTATGGGCAGAAGGATTCTAACATACATTCCTACAAGTCAAACCAAAGTACATCATCCTGAGTTCTGGATAGATCCTTTTAACTCACCTTGGGTAATAACTACCTTTTAAACAGTTTAAAAGGTTGTAGACATTAAATTTTATAATGCTGAGTGTCCTCTTAAAAATCTTAGTTTTTATATATTCATCACTTCACAAGTCCAGGTTCCTTATTTAGAGGAGCTAACCCCTAAGTTTAATACAACATAACTGATTTTATTATATATATATGTGTGTGTGTGTGTAGGTCTTTGGTTATTCGGGTCTTCTCCCACGTAAAATTGGAAGTGTCTTGGCGACGTTTCGACGAAGTCTCATTCGTCATCTTCAGGCTGGTGTTCTCGGCTTCGTGCTCCTGGAAGCACGAAGCCGAGAACACCAGCCTGAAGATGACGAATGAGACTTCGTCGAAACGTCGCCAAGACACTTCCAATTTTACGTGGGAGAAGACCCGAATAACCAAAGACCTACATACAAACACCCGCGAAAACCTGAGAAAACAAATATATATATATATATACAGAGAGAGAGAGAGAGAGAGATGGTATTCATCTACTTATTTATTTAGAAGAATAGAATAGAATAGAATAGAATAGAATAGAATAGAATAGAATAGAATAGAATAGAATAGAATAGAATAGAATAGAATAGAATAACAGAGTTGGAAGGGACCTTGGAGGTCTTTTAGCCCAACCCCCTGCCCAGGCAGGAAACCCTACACCACTTCAAACAAATGGTTATCCAACATCTTCTTAAAAAGTTCCAGTGTTGGAGCATTCACAACTTTTCAGGCAAATTGTTCTACTTATTAATTGTTCTAACTGCCAGGAAATTTCTTCTTAGTTCTTCTCTCCTTGATTAGTTTCCACCCATTGCTTCTTGTTCTACCCTCAGGTGCTTTGGAGAATAGTTTGACTCCCTCATTTTAGTGGCAATCCCTGAGATATTGAAACACTGCTATCGTGTCTCCCCTAGTCCTTCTTTTCATTAAACTAGACATACCCAGTTCCTGCTACCATTCTTCATATGTTTTAGCCTCCAGTCCCCTAATCATCTTTGATACTTTTCTCTGCACTCTTTCTACAGTCTCAACATCTTTTTTACATCGTGGCGACCAAAAATGAATGCAGTATTCCAAGTGTGGCCTTACCAAGGCATTATAAAGTGGTATTAACACTTCACATGATCTTGATTCTATCCCTCTGTTTATGCAGCCCAGAACTGTGTTGGCTTTTTTGGCAGCTGCTGCACACTCCTGGCTCATATCTAAATGGTTGTCCACTAGGACTGCAAGATCCCTCTCACAGTTACTACTATTGAGCAAGGTACCACATATACGGTACCTGTGCATTTTGTTTTTCTTCCCTAAATGTAGAACCTTGCTTTTTTCACTGTTGAATTTCATTTTGTTAGATAGCGCCCAATGTTCAAGTCTGTCAAGATCCTTCTGTATCTTGAGCCTAACTTCTGGAGTGTTGACTATTCCTGCCAGCTTGGTGTCATCTGCAAATTTGATGAGTTCCCCATCTATCCCCTCGTCCAAGTCATTGATGAAGATGTTGAAGAGTACTGGGCCTAAAATAGAGCCTTGGGGTACTCCACTGCATACTTCCCTCCAGGTAGATGCAGTTCCATTGAGGACTCCATGTTAAGTGTGGTTGGTCAGCCAGTTACGAATCCATCTGGTGGTGATGCTGCCTAACTCACATTTTTCTACTTTATCTAGTAGTAGGTTATGGTCTACTTTATCAAATGCTTGACTGAAGTCCAAGTAAATTTTATCGAAAGCATTCCTCTGGCCCACTAATTTTGTCACTTTATCAAAGAATGCAATAACTTTATCTTTATTATTCCATTCTAAGGCTACAGGTTAACTTATAAAGAAGATTTTTTTTAAAAAAAAGTACAACTGATGTTTGCTCTCCATGGGTGTTCTACAAACTACGGCTACAATGGTCCTCTGGGATAGGTGGCAGGTGGGAGAAGTGTAGTAAGGTTTTGAAGTCATTTTTGCCTACCTTCCTCTCATGTAATGGCAACAAGGATTACCATTTAAGCATCTTTAATTTTGTTTTTCAAAATAAATGGGATTGTTATTACAATAAGTGATAGAGAAGAAGTTTCTCTCATTTAAATTCTGAGAGTTTAGGATATTAAAAGGTAATGCAATGTAGTCATAAATTTTTGAAACAGTAGAACATTAGAACAGTAGACATACATTTAATTGTTAATACAACCAAAACAATTCCTACTGTCATGGCCTGATTTACATGTATACCAGTTTGGGCACAGATTTTCTGTGAATGACCCACAAGACTTTAAATTTCAAATTGACATTAATTTCCCATTGACAAAACAAGAACTCTGATTATGTAGTTATTTTCTGGTATAATCATGACTTAAAAGAAAGGGTTTTCTGCCTAAGCAAAAGGTTAGAGGGCCACAGGAAAGAACAATTTTTAATGATCAGCATATTTTTTCTGAACATAGTCTTTGAAAATCCTTCATTGGACAGTTTTCTAACCTTGAGGCCAGTATCAAATAATGTTCCACATTGGCTCTCAGATGCAAGAGAAACTGAGATATTTACCGGCTTATGTGCAGTGTGACATTTGTGGCACAGTATATTGCCTTACAGATTTCATATACTAATTTGTGTGTCTGTTGGAGTCATTGTCTAATTGATTATTCTGTGTCAGATCTCTCCCTTTTTGAGATGTTTAAGATGAGAGTTCCTTTGATCACACCCTTAACTCTTAGAGGGAGCAAAACCTATTCATGGACAGAATTATTTTCTAATTGCTGTGGAAGAGAAACTCCCCTGCTTCCTTCCTGCATAGTAAATGTTAAGATCATATTATTTGTAATTGTATGTACATGTGCTGAACAAACTGGCTTCCTTTAAAATTGGGTATACATTGTTTAACTTTTAATTGCTAGAGATAAAACAGTGTGTTCATGTTGGAAGCTTTGAAGTTATGACTAGAATCTGTAGCGGCAAGATATTAAAGAAGAAAATTCCTGTTTTCTTGGCAGGTTTCATGAAAATTTACTGTCTCTGAAGAGGGATCTAGCTGCTGCAACACCTCATTTTGCTTGTTTAAATTTCTGGTTGTTTTTGCATGCTGTACTGCAAACCATTTTCATTTTTCTGTGTTCTCCTCGTTGGGACTCATTTCTCATTCGTGTTTTTGTCTCATTTGTTCCATCAGCAAATGCCCAGCACACCAGGGTTTGTGGGATACAATCCATACAGCCATCTGGCGTACAACAACTACAGGCTGGGAGGGAACCCGGGCACCAACAGCCGGGCCACGGTAGGAGAATCAACTATTACATCATCCGGCAAACAGCAGGAAGTGACCAGAAATGGCTTTAGAATTAGATCATCTAAGTCTTAGCTGCTGCTAATACTTTTTATTTTAAAATATATATATAAACTTGAAAAAATAACTGGTGATTTCTTTCCATTTGTCCCCAATCTTCTTTTCATTAACCTTTTGATAACAGCCTTTTTTATTAGTCGGAATGGGCATCGAGTCAGTTCACTTGCCAGCAGGAATACAAACAAATTTTTAAAAAACTTTTTTCATTAACCAGCTACCATTGACAAGAATTTTTCCCTCTGATCATGAAAGCAGCTTATGCGCCAACTAGCGAGTAGTTAAATTTGGAGGTGGGGTAGGTAGGTAACATGATGCAAAGACCTATGTAAATCTTTCGATGAAGTAGAGCAAGAAGGAAACAAATCTAGAACCAAAGAGAAGAGTTTTCTCTCAATAGTTAGAGGATGGATTTTTGAAACTTGAAAATTTCAAAATTTTGTGCAAGATTTAAGTTTGCTGAAGTTGAAGTCTTCTCTCCAAATAGTGTGGAAGTTGACAGTGTTCTACAATGGGCAGAGAAGACCTTCCCCTTTTGGCATGGAAAATGAGTTGGATTTTTCTGATTATTAGTTCAGTCAAATACTGATATATTAGTCTGCAATATGTCTTAATGATAGTGTGTTCTCAATTGAAAGTTTTCTCATAAGAAACCCTGTTCAGAAGACCCTGTAGTGTGTTCCATTCTGCCAGGTATTCTCTGAGGTGTCTTAGTGTTCAACCAATAGTTGATGAACACTACTGCCTATCCTTAGTTATTGCTTCAGTTTGAGACGTAGTGGCTGGATTAATTGTTTGGTGCTTTCTCCTGTAATTAATGTTCAGAAGGGTAGTTAGATTAGTGTTTGCAAAAAAAAAAAAAAGTATTATCACACTTCAAATAACGAATTTATTATTGCATAAACCCTTTTTTCTTTTTTTCCACTTTTTTTTGTTTTTGCAGCAAAAAAAATACCATAAACTTTTATAAAAATACAAAAATAAACGGTATAAAAATGCATAATAAAAACAATTAAAATGATTTAAATTCTAAAGACATTTAATAAGTGACAAAAAAAAAAATAGAAGGTAAACAAAATGAAATTGTGTAAACCTCTATGGATCAAAGTCCACTGTCAGATACATATAGATTGTTAATAAAATGAGCTGTGATTTATGGCAAAAACAAAGGTATTGATCTTTAAGATGCTTCAGAACTCTTTATGGAATTGCCTAATGCCATAGACAGCAAACACGGAGGATAGAAACCTGTTTAACACCTGCATTCATGCAATTCCTACGTATCTCCTCATAAGAACTGTATGCATTTGGATGTAACTAAAAACTAGTAAGTATATCACTATGTTAGGCACTTAGAGAAAAAAGTATAGAGTTTTTGTAGTGTAATTTAGATATAATTTGACTGTGTCCATTGGAAAAAGTCTACAAGTAAGTAAATGATCACTGTTGATGTCATTATATAAGTTATATTCATTAGTTGAGGAGAAACTTTAGCTCTGATTCATATTTTTTTATCTGTAAAGGATACTTTCAAACTGTTCCTGTCCAAAAATAATGGATTGTGGTAGTCCATTAACCATTTTCCAAAATAAAAGACTCCAATTCAAATTCTAATATTTCACTTTTAATAAATGAATGATAAAAAGATCCAGTTTAGGCCTGTGAGTCAGACCTTCTCTGGGAGTTATCTTTAAGGAAATTGAAAAAGGCACTAATTTGCTAATATGGAAGACCCTTCTTTGTATTTTTCATGACCAGAAAAAAGGCATTTATATTGCAAAGAAATAACAGATTCAGAAGTTGCACGTGATAATCATGAGTACTCACCCTTCATGTGTTAACTCATGTGTTCTTACCTGGTTTATTACTTTAAATAAGAATAAATTTGGATCTTTAAAAAATTCTGATCCCAAATTATTTTTATATCAGATTCATATTGGAAGAATATGTTCTTTCACAAATTTTTGTTGTATATACATATAGTAAACATTCTGAGCTTTTTCTACAATGTGTGTTTCAATTTGGGTTTATACTTTATAGATTCTTATTGTTGCTTAAGTATTAAGTTGATTTTCTTGAATGTTTTCAGGTCCCTCTTTATATATTTGTGTGTGTAATTGTACATTTGCTAATGCATACATCTCATAAACATGTTTGTGTTTCTTTAGATAAGATCTATGCACCACTGCTTACTTCATGGCATTTCATAAATATGACATGGAGAAAAGCTTGTCCTTTTATTTTAAAAATGAGCTTCTCGAATGTTGTAGGCCTGTTCATGCAAAATATTATTTATATATGTATTATCATAATGGAGCCATAAAATGACTAGATTATTCAAAATCTGAGATCTCTGCAGATCTATGCAGATTTTAAACATGTCTGCATGTTTAAATCTTGATCTTAATCTCTATAGTCTCCTCCCAAAATAGCTACATGTATTTTGAAGTATGGATAGAATTTTGTGCATATATGCTACCTCATTGATTTCTACATGGAAGGTCACATCTAAAAATGCAGACATGTATCTGTTTGTTAAAGTGAATAAGAATCCTTGACTGATTTTACTGTTACTAATAAGGATCTCATTCTATAGTGATTACATTCTCCAGAGTAGAGATATTCCACTACTATTGAAAAATTTGGAAAAGTGATCCCCAATTGCCTAGAAATCCATTCACCATTCCCACATATACACAGACAATTGTATCACAGCCAATGCCAATGCCTGCAAATGCATTAATTTGCATATTAGATATATTATGATATTTAATAAGTTCCTTGAGAATAAAAGTGACGGGTCCTTCTCTTAGTAAAGAGTTGATTCAAATGAAAGATGAGCACGTCTTTGAAAAAGATGAATTGTGTATATATGAAAGTGTATTTTGAACTCAGAACATTTTTGTAGAAAAAAGGGACATTACCTTTTACCCATTAAGACATACATATTTCTTTTAGCTATTTTTTTCCTTACTAAGTGCAGTGAAAAAGCTTGGTATTTCTACAGATCTTTTAGGAAAAGTTGTTCCAGGAACTCTCTATAAAATTTCCACTTGGATAATGCAGTTTGAGCTAATAAGATATTCAAGGGAGCAAGCTTGGAGAAATATCTCGTTCTGAGAAATATTTTAAGGGTCTCTCCAGTAATGGAATAAGGATAATTGAGATGATCTTGGATGAGAGTGTAGTATGGGTAATTCTCAACTTACAACCATAATTGGGACCAGGACTAGCACTAAGCAGTGCCATCATTAAGTGAGCTTTATAACCTTTCTTGCCATGGCCTAGCAAATCAGCGTAGTTGTTAAGAGAATCTGACTTCCCTCTTTGATTTTGGTTTTTGGAAACCCCGTAGAAGGGTTTCAGATGGCAATTATGAGATCTTGGTATGCTGAATCACGATAAATACATAGCAGTTATCAAGCGCCCAAATTTTGATCACTTGACTGTGGGGATGCTGTGATGGTTGTAAGTGTGAGAATCGGTTGTAAGTCATTTTATTCAGTGCCATCGTAACTGCAAACATTAGTTAAATGAATGACCATAAGTCGAGGAATCTTTGTATTCAGAAATATCAAGAATCATTCATCCGGCATAGAGGGTCAAAATATTATTTATGCCCGGGAAGCAAGATAATATTCAGAAGCTCAGGCAAATTCCTTCCATATCCAGTGGGTTATAAACTTAGGGGAAGTAAAACACAGACTTATAAGATTATGTTATTATAGTTATCTCAATAAAGCATAGCTGTAGTCTTCCTGTGAAGTTGATCTGATATGGTCTACCTAATGGGGCTGAGATCAGTTTTGCAAATCTGATTCCTCTTTACTTCCCATCCACCCTTCCAAGTAAACCAGAGAGCGTTTACTTGATTCATTTCCTAATATTATCATGTTTCCCATGATGAAAAGAATATTTCAATCCTCTAGATAACAGTTCTTGCATATTTCTGTTAAAGACATTTCCCCTTACTTTTTACAATTCCACTTCAGTCCTTTTTACTGTCTTTAATCTATCTCTTCTCTTTACCCTGAGGTTGCATTCACCCTTGACCTTTTACTGTGCTACCTTAACTATTCCATAAAATACTTTTAATATTCTAAAGTAAGAATGGCAACTAGATGGCCTTAAAATGTTGCTGGGCCACAGTAATTTCAATATTGAAAACTGCTGTGAGTTGCAATTTAGCAACATATAGAGGCTATAGATTTCTCACTGTACTCAATATTTTTTTCTTTTCCTGTATTTGCTGGAAAATTCATAACATGTTATCCAGCAGCAGTTCCAAGTATTTTCAGAAGTCGGAATAGAAGGGGCAAAATTGGACATCAGAAATTCATATCAGTTGCAGCCATTCACCAAGACAAAACTGCTGAAAACCTGCCAGAAAATATGCTTACATTTTCTAGAAGGTTGCGAGATATCTATGTATCAGGACACAAGGCCACAACAATTGAGCTTGGAATTGATTGGATATTAGAACTGGCTAATATTGCTGTGCACATGGGGATGCAGAGACATTGAAATAATACAGACTAAAGTTGCTATTGGCATTCGACCTGGAGTTAAAAATGCAGGTATGAATATAACCTCAGGTATTTAGTACAGGTAGCATAACAACTGCTCTCATTAGGACAAAAAATTGGATATTTTGAGTTATAGAAGGTATTTGGGCTGTTGAAAATTGCTGTTTTAATACAAAATCTTTGTCAATACATAAATTTATTGAAAGAACAATGAGAAATATTACAGCATTTTTTACTCTACATATCTGAAAATATACTTGTTCTCATGAGAGTTAATAAATGTTAACCTGGACCTATATATCTATTTATCTATATATTATATTAGCAAATGCCTCTTTTGCAGTACTTAAATATTTGAAATAATATAACCAGTGTGTTTTATTTGGTTGTTCCTTAGGCATCATCGGGTATTACAATCCCCAAACCCCCAAAGCCTCCAGATAAGCCACTCATGCCCTATATGAGGTACAGCAGGAAGGTGGGTACAAAATGCTTGGTCCTGATTAAAGGTCTGCCTCATCTTAACCTATTTCATTATTGTTCTAAAACGTGTTTGAATTCAAAAAGCAAACCTGTTACTATAGCTTTGCTTACGTTTTTTTTTTCCTTAAGAAGAAATTAAGAAGTCATTGGTTCCTCTTTTCACAGTGAAAACAATAGCAACCTACCCAAAATGGAGGGGGAAAATATAAGTTTCACCACAGAATGAAACATGGCCACCATACTTTCGGGGAGAAATGAAGACCCTTTTTTATTGACTATTTAAAAATGCTTAAAGTATACTGCCGCTTCCTCTGCTAACAAGGATGCATCGGGTGCCTTATTGGCAGAATTTTCTATATTAAAAGAATCCGCTTTCTGTGGCAAAGCAGGATTGGCGCAACCCCATAACTGCACTTTGCAATAGTGACAATAGGATCTACTTTGCTCTTTAAAATATGTTTTTGTTTTGAAATTCTCTTCTCTTATTTTAGGGAGAGAGAATAAGGGTGTAGTGTCACGCCCCTTTTTCCCTTTCTTGTTTTTAATTCGCTGGCTTTTTTTTTTTCTGATAAAAGAGCTTAGGTCTTACAGACAGCATTTGATCCAATCCAGTGTGAAGGAGGGACTAAGTCCAAAGGAGGACTGTGTTGTTGCCTGCTTTTCTGTCTCTGGTTCTTTTTTAAAAAAAAAAGTTCATCCATCGCCTCTCTTAAGACAAAAGAGAAGAATCATGTGCAGGATTTAAAGGAGAGGATGCTGTAACAAGGATGCTGTGCAGCTGTCAATAAAACCAGGCAGTGGATGATAAACGTACCTCTGTCTTCCCACCCCAGAGAAATAATCAAACAGTGGACATAGCCCAAAATAACTGTCTAGTGTAGCCTTGCTTTGAAAGAACCGTAGTCGTGGTGATATTAACAAAAGATGTGCTTATTTTGTAAGTATTTAGTTAGCTGGAGCTTTACTACAGATGTTTTTATTAAGGTCTGGGACCAAGTGAAGGCGTCCAACCCTGACTTGAAGCTATGGGAAATTGGGAAGATCATTGGAGGGATGTGGCGTGACCTCACTGATGAAGAGAAGCAAGAATACTTAAATGAATATGAAGCAGAAAAGGTACAAAGAAGAAACCTCCCTCTCACTCCTAAATGACGCTGGAAGTCTGTCTTTCTCTTTCATACACATAAAGCTAAAGTAAAATAAAATAAAAAAGACTGATTCTGGAGGAGGTCACTTACAGGCTCATGTACAGGAGCATTATTGAGGAAAGAAAACCTGAATCAACTTTTGCTGTGCAAGGCCAGATCCACTAAAGAATTTTAAGGAGAGTGTGATAGAATCATGATACTTTGGATGACTTGAAAAGAGCCCAGCTTGAGTCAAGGTTGCCTACTCTCCCTCTCTGCCCCCAACTGAACATCTAAGCATAAAGGTACCTGGAAGTAAAACACAGTTAATGAGACTCCCCTCATCCAGTTCCTCCCAACATCATATTCCCCTGTACTTCCCTTTGCTGTTCATTAAATATGGACACATTCCGAAATGTTTAAATGCAACTCTATCCTGCTTCTGGCCGTGAGACCCTTCCAGAAGAGAGCAATTGAGTATGAGTAATCAGCCCTGAGGTATCCGTCTCTTGTTTCGTGTGAAGTTGTCCTTGCGTACTGTGAGGATTTCTTAATTGTTTGAAATTCCTAAGGTTAAGGGAGATGGGATTTGTTGTATTTTTTTTAATTATATCTATCAACTTGTAGATAGAGTACAATGAATCAATGAAGGCCTATCATAATTCACCTGCTTACCTTGCCTATATCAATGCCAAAAGCCGTGCTGAAGCTGCACTGGAGGAGGAAAGCCGGCAAAGGCAATCCCGAATGGAGAAAGGTGAACCTTATATGAGCATCCAGCCTGCTGAGGATCCAGATGGTAAGCAAGAGGAGAAGAAATAGTGTTGCTGGCCACAAAGAATGGCACAATGATTGAGATGTAGCTTCTTTTTACTTGGCAATGGAATTTTTCAGGATTCAGAAATCAATATTTTATTCTCTTCTTAAAACAACTTGCTGGGGAACCCTTTGTGGTTTGGAGAAAAATTCTATAAATATTACAATTCTTTGTTTCGGATCTGCACATAAATAGGATGAAACAAAAGCATAAAACAAAAGCAATGGTATTAAATTTCCATCAAGTATTGTTTAGCAATCTATAACAGATTTATTTTTATCTCATCTTTATTATTACTGTATTATTATAACTCGAGGCAGCAAAGATTCATAAAACTGTAATCTGCTTTCATGCTTAAGGCAGGACCAGAACTCAATGCTTTCTAGCCTGGTATCTTAACTATTAGACTAAATAGTTCTTACATGAATTCACATAGTTCTATCATCAAAGGTAGAAAATTCAAGATGTCCTCTTGCATGAATATTTGCCCCCAGCTGCATTTAATTAATGTACTGCTCAGAAAAATATGTATTCTAAGCATCTTGGTTTTTGCAGATTTTTGCAGACTGGACAGTTTTGAACAATAAACTAGGTTTTTCACTGGTAGTTACAAAGGAAGTTGCCTATTGAATAGAGATCTGTAAAATTGTCCCAAGGGGTTGTACAAAAGAATAAACTATGTCTTCTCTTATTTAAAGACCTTGAGTCTTTTTCATAGGAATTTGAGAACAGAATTGAAATATACCACAAAAATAACCAGATCAGATCGAGAAGTCAGAATATTCAAAGAAGTAGGGAGAAAATAATTTGCTAAGTATTTTTTTAATTAAATTTTTCAGTCCTCTAAATTCTTTGCTCAAGCCAGTTAAGGTCAGATGAATTGTTAGAAACTTTAATCATTTTTTTATTTCCATGTTTCAGATTGGGGTGAAGGTTGAACCTGATGCAGTATAGCTTGCTTAAACCACCCACTGAGTTCTCACAGTTGACTAGCAAGACTTCCAAATTACAGTTCTTACCCTAAATATAATACGGAAGTTCTTCATTTACATTATAAGATATATTTGAAATAAGATATTCAGATTTATCCTGGATCATCTATGAATATCTGAGTAGAATTGTTTTTTAAAGTTTACTTTGGATAGATCCAGCAGATTCTGTTTATAGATGTCATTTTTTGGTAGTTTTTCTCATTTTCATGCCTCACAAAAGGAAGTTGACTTATTTCTCCCAGAATTCTTTGCTTTAAAAAAGCAGTACCTGGTTGAAAGGGGAACTGTTCATCTGAAAAGACATGAATCTCTTTAACCCCAACTTTCCTTTTCTGTTAGACAAGGATAGGATCATTTTCTTTTTAATGCAATGCAGTCTCATTTTAGAATAAGTTCAAAGCTGAGGATAAAAATCAGGGAGACAGATTTACCTTTATGCTGAGTCATATAACCATGGTATATTCCCATGGTGGCAAACCTATGGCATCCGTGCCGGAAGTGGCACACAGAGCCATCTATCCAGGCATGTGAGCTGTCACCCTTAGCTCTTCTGGGTTCTAGGCAACCAGCCAGCTGATGTTCACACATGCGGGAGTGCCGGAAACTGGGAAAACAGCCACCCGGCAAGCATGCGGGCACTGGGAAGATAATCTGGTTTCCAGTGCACACGCGCACTCCTGTTTCAGCACTCAGTGCCAAAAAGGTTCGCCAACACTGGTATATTCCTTTCTAAAGCAGCAGTTTTCATTATGGGAGATTCAGAAAAATAAGCAACCATACATAGTTTATGAGAGATATTATAAACAGTAATTCAGTAGTACAGTAATCATGCATTTCCCAGCCTTTCATTGACTCTGTCTTGTGCTGTGCACTACCAGAAGTTCAAAGGCTGCACATCTCTGCCCCAAGTATTTATTGTGTGTCTCCCAGAAGCTGCTGGTTTTCAACAGTTGTTATGGTTGGTCACGCAATCAGCCAGATGTTTATATAGGATTTAGCATTTTTATCCACTTATCAAATACTTCCTAAGAACCTGGGTAGGCAAATACTGTTTTTTTACTAAAGATATCATTGCAGATAAATATTTGTCTGTCAAAGTAAAGCTGCCATTTGCAATTGACTGATGATGATTTTGTCAGTGCCGATGATGTTCACGCTCCAGCTGTTTTGGGCTTGCACCCAAGGTGCCTATTATGTTGGTATTATCTTTGCTTTCTTTTACCAAAGTCATTCCATTTCTGTTTTCAGGTATTTTGTATTTTGCAGTTTTCTCCAGTTCTCCCTTTTCTTCTGCTGTTCTGCAACATCCACTATCCATATTATTTGTCTTTATTATCAACAATTTTTAAGTTTCAGATGTTATGTAGCAGATGTTTGTCTGTTTGATTATGTTGAATTCTAAAGCCCCAGTTTCTTTATTTTTTTATTATTTTATCTATTTTGTGGTCAGTTCTTGCTTTCAGGAAAATGGTATTTTTGCAAATATTCCAATACATCATCATGGCTATTTTGTCATGCGATTTTTTTTCTAGTTAATCTATGTGATTTTCTTGCAGCAGCTAATTAGGCGGTCCAGTATTTCTTTTGCTTCTTTGCAGATGTGGCATTTGTTTTCTGTTTCTCTCTTCTTAATTCTGATATGTTATCTTAAGGCACAATCTTACATAGCCAGAAAAGAGGGAATTAGTCCCTCTTTTCAATTTCTTTCTCTTAGTTATTACCAGCTCTTGTTATCTTCTTTGCCTGTTTTTTTTTTTAATGTACTGACCATGTTACACTTTGCTTAACCATGCCCTTTTTCTATTGTCACTTGGACTCTTGCAGATTTGCTCGATCTTTCTAGTACTCTAGTAAGCCTTCATAGTATAGTATCTTCAGTGCATCTTCTTCATTGTTCTTCAGATATTCTTTAAATGCCCTTTTTTTCAACTGCCTGGTGTACTTACAACATTACTTACCTATTTCCCTTGGTAAGTAGAGTCTGTCAACATTGTTGTATGATGGATATGATTCATTGAAAAAATATTTCTAGTCTTTAGACTAGATTTTAGGTTTTTAGTTTCACTTGAATCCAGTCTAGTATTCCAGCTGTGTATCTAAATGACTGGAATTATCTTGGTGTCAATTGCCTTGATGGTATTTCTTCCACTGAATTTGGACTTTAAGATCTTCACTCTTCTACTGTATTCAACACTAACCTTCTTGACTTTATTATGCTTGATGTTATAAGCCTGAAGGATGCCCAGATATTTGTAGTGATCATTTTCATCCAGACTTTAGAAATTATTTCAGTAGGGCATCTTGATTCCTTCAATTTTTTGTAATTTTCCCCTGTTGATGGTAAGAGTAGCACTTTTGGTCAGTCCAAACTCCACTGGAATATTCTAGCTGTATACTTGGACTTGATTGAGCAGTGATTCCATTTCAAATGTGTTTTTCCATACAGTTTCAGATTATCCATGTAAAGTAGAGGGAATAGCCTAACAGATGTTTTTGATATTTGATAGCCATGGCATGTCTTGTTTTTTATTGTTGACAGGGGAATCAGTACAATGACAAACAGTAGTGATTCACTTGAAAGATTCATCTATTAATGTTAATTTCTCCCAATCTTTAACTATTGATCAGCGACTGTGTCTTCCATTGAGCCATTGAGCTTTATTATTATTACTATGAATAGGCCGATTTGCTTTCAACACTGAATTAATGGAGCTGCTTGTGTCTTCTCTTAAAGTTCTTCCCCACTTGTTGCACCCTGTATCTTTTATTAGGCTTTTACAATCAGCAGAATATTTACTATATTCTGGCCCTACCAAGAGTTCATTATTGCCTGCATGAAAAATCCTTTTTATTGAAGATTCTTAAATCAGGCATTTTGTTCAGTTACTGCATAAAATCCAGGTATCTTTTCTTAGAAATAACTTGTTTAGAGAAAGAGCCACCACCACCACCCCATCCCACCCCCCAATTTTGCTGTGAGGGTATATAGATACGATTTTTACTCCCAGATATCATTTTAAAAGTAAAACTTAAGTAAAATACATCTAGTGGCCCCATATATAAATATCTCTAGCATAGTTAGCTTTTCAGTTCTTTTTTTAAAACATGGGGTTCGTTGGTTGGAGGAGATAAACTAGAAATTCAAGATTGCTGCTCTGAGACACTTTTTCAAAAATAGTTTTGGAAAAGACCAAGCCCGTATCTATTATTCATCATTTTGTCTTTTCAAAAGCATTTGGAGAGATTCTTTGACTCTTAGCTCTTTGATGTTCCCGGTTTTGACAGGAGGAAAATGGGTGGCTATGAATTCACAATTAAGTTCATTAAGTAGCTATTTTCATAGGGAATGATGTCACAGTAAGAGTGAGAGCTTGTTATGCGGGATTCCTGTAACCACCTCCATTCATCTTTAAAATGGTGATTGGCCTTTTTTCTGTTTAAAATACCAAATCAAAATATTAATTATATAAGGAACTTATATAAGGGATAATAAATATTTTACAAAATACATTTTGTTTTACATAAAACATAGTTCATTTCTATCAGTGCTCATTTTTGCCATTTGTAATATTGGGGTAAATCATCTTAAAACTACCTTGTAACTGATAATAGCAAGTTATTATAAGTAATCAAATAGGCTGATGAAGAGAAAAAAAACTTGGGCATCACATAGAAGTAATTTTTCTTTATCAAGCCTTTGTGAGCCTATATATATATATATATTGGTTGGATTATACATTTTTTAAACTTCTATACCAGGCCAAACTGCCTGCTAGCCCAGGAATAGACTTCAATGAGCAGAGAACAAATTGTTTCCAAATTAAACTTATATGGGATTTAATTTATTTCATCTAATAAAAAATCATTTACCATTCCCATATGAAAAAAGCAGTTATGTATAGTGATATTTAGAATGAGAAATATTGGATTTGAAACTTAATATAGTTCAAAGGAAAAAACAAGAAAGTCCAGTTGCCTCCTGAAAAAGCA